CTTAGGGTAATGACCCCCTGCCCCCGCTCAACCTTGCCCATTCAAATTCAACATTTTCGCGCTCTCGGATACCACCTACGGCCTCGCGAGAATTTTGGCGGTTAAACTATTAATTCGGGAATCACGGAAAGATATTTGCCCTTTAAGGTTTCGAATTCAGCTTTCGTGCGCTGGTGCGTGAAGTTTTTAACTGTTTTCCAATGTTTGAACTATTTTTGCATAGACTAAAGTACAAAGCAATGAAAATCAATCTTTAACTGTTTTTCAATGTTTGAACTATTTTTGCATAGACTAAAGTACAAAGCAGTGAAAATCATTTTCTTAACTGTTTTTCAATGTTTGAACTATTTTTGCATAGACTAAAGTACAAGGAAGTAAAAATCATTACGTCTGGTTTTCAATGTTTGAACTATTTTTGCATAGACTAAAGTACAAAGCAGTGAAAATCATTAACAGGCAAATATCGTTATGGTAGAACTATTTTTGCATAGACTAAAATACAAGGAAGTGAAAATCATTAACAGGCAATCGTTCGATGGGTTGAACTGCACAAAGACGCATGATCGCACCGGCTAGTCTGGTGCGCGTTGCTATTTATTACAATTACGGAATTGCACAAAACGCATGATCGCACCAGCTAGTCTGGTGCACGTTGCTATTTACTTTGGTTGCAATGGTGTTTTGTCGTCAGCGTCTTTGTACTACTAGTCAATGCACAAACGGCAAGTTAGCGCACTCTCCGCGGATTGAGTTCATTCACATTTTGTTCCTATTTGAAGAGAGGAAATAACTAGATGTAAGTTACATTTTTCGAACGAACCTAAGCTTATGAAGGCACGAATGGGGATTTGAAACTCTTCTTCTGGAAGCGGGTTTTCTATTTTTATATGTTTTTTGCATCTATGCAATGAAAAAACGCATATTGCCGATGGGTTGTCTGTTTTCTATATGTTTGTGTCTGCATGTTCATCCGTACCGATTCTTCATCTCAATATTTACAAAACTTACAAGGCTGAAGCTTTGGGAACTTAATCGACATGCATGTGCGGGTCCCAACCCTTAAAATGGGCGCTCTTTCCCAGACCTACAGGTCCGTCAAGGCTTTTAGCTGGCAAGCTGCTTGCTGGGTACCCGAAAAGCTAAAATGCTGAAATTCTTAGGAAAAGTTCCCCGCCCACGTAGAATTCAATGATCCCAGCTTCTAGGGTGTACGTGGTTCCCGTGTGCGGGGCCGCGAAATCATTTTGTGAGTAGGTTGTTAATTCGGGTATCAGAGAAGTCAGAAAACTGAAATTTCCCTTCCTACCTTCTAGATTCGAACTTCCTCGACTCACCATGGGGTAACCTTATCCCAATCACCAAGAAAAATTTTCGCGATTCGTGTATGACGCCGGCCGAGCCGAGCTGGGACGAGTTCTAGTAATTGCCTGTAGTGGACGAGGGGAAAGTTAGCGATTTAGTTACAAGCAAGG